GAGGTGGAGGGTGGGGAGAGGTGGGGGGGGTGGTGGGGGGCGAGGTGGTGGGGGGGTGGTGGGGGGGGGAGAGGTGGTGGCGGGGTGTTGGGGGGGGAAGAGGTGGGGGGGAGAGGTGGTGGGGGGTGTGGTGGGGGGGAGAGGTGGGGGGGGGAGAGGTGGGGGGGGTGGTGGGGGGGGGAGAGGTGGTGGGGGGGGAGAGGTGGGGGGGGCGCGGTGAGGTGGTGGAGGGTGGGGAGAGGAGGTGGGGGGTGGTGGGGGGGAGGAGAGGTGGTGGGGGGTGGTGAGGGGGGGACGCAGCGTAGTGGTGGAGGGTGGGGAGAGGTGGGGGGGGGTTGTGGAGGGGGGTTGCGCAGTTGCACCGCCTGCACACTCGACGCGCGCGCGTTGGCCTCGTAACAACAACAACACGGGGAGGACAAAGCGAGGAAGTTGGAGGGGAGGGGCGAAGAGGAAGGGGGGGGGGGGCTGGGACCCCCCCTGGGACCCCCCCCCGTGCCCCCCCCCCAGCAGCGCGTTACATTTTCCTATCCGGAAAGGGACACTCATGACGTCAGGCGACACAAAGTGCATCACGCAGCAGTGGAGTGAACCTGGCAGTGAATGGGGGGGGGCAGGGTGACGTCACCAGCAGTGGAGTGAACCTGGCAGTGAATGGGGGGGGGCAGGGTGACGTCACCAGCAGTGGAGTGAACCTGGCAGTGAATGGGGGGGGGGCAGGGTGACGTCACCAGCAGTGGAGTGAACCTGGCAGTGAATGGGGGGGGGGGGGCAGGGTGACGTCACCAGCAGTGGAGTGAACCTGGCAGTGAATGGGGGGGGGGGCAGGGTGACGTCACCAGCAGTGGAGTGAACCTGGCACTGAATGGGGGGCAGGGTGACGTCACCAGCAGTGGAGTGAACCTGGCAGTGAATGGGGGGCAGGGTGACGTCACCAGCAGTGGAGTGAACCTGGCAGTGAATGGGGGGGGCAGGGTGACGTCACCAGCAGTGGAGTGAACCTGGCAGTGAATGAGGGGGGGGGGTGACGTCACCAGCAGTGGAGTGAACCTGGCACTGAATGGGGGGCAGGGTGACGTCACCAGCAGTGGAGTGAACCTGGCAGTGAATGGGGGGGCAGGGTGACGTCACCAGCAGTGGAGTGAACCTGGCAGTGAATGGGGGGGCAGGTTGACGTCACCAGCAGTGGAGTGAACCTGGCACTGAATGGGGGCAGGGTGACGTCACCAGCAGTGGAGTGAACCTGGCAGTGAATGGGGGGGGGGCAGGGTGACGTCACCAGCAGTGGAGTGAACCTGGCAGTGAATGGGGGGGCAGGTTGACGTCACCAGCAGTGGAGTGAACCTGGCACTGAATGGGGGGCAGGGTGACGTCACCAGCAGTGGAGTGAACCTGGCAGTGAATGGGGGGGCAGGGTGACGTCACCAGCAGTGGAGTGAACCTGGCACTGAATGGGGGGCAGGGTGACGTCACCAGCAGTGGAGAGAGCCTGGCACAGAATGGGGGGCAGGGTGACGTCACCAGCAGTGGAGTGAACCTGGCAGTGAATGGGGGGGGGCAGGGTGACGTCACCAGCAGTGGAGTGAACCTGGCAGTGAATGGGGGGGCAGGGTGACGTCACCAGCAGTGGAGTGAACCTGGCACTGAATGGGGGGGGGGCAGGGTGACGTCACCAGCAGTGGAGTGAACCTGGCACTGAATGGGGGGGGGCAGGGTGACGTCACCAGCAGTGGAGTGAACCTGGCAGGGGTCGTGGCGCTGTGGCGAGGAGCAACAGCGACCCCTGCCGACAGCAAGCGGCCTAGCGGCGTGGTGCAGGCAGTGTTAGTCTGTGGGCAGTGTTAGTCTGTGACTCTATGGGCAATGTTAGTCTCTAGGCAATGTTACTCTATGACTCTATGGGCAATGTTAGACTTTGGGAAATGTTAGTGACAGGCTGAGTGAGTGACAGGCTGAGTGACAGGCAGAGTGAGTGACAGGCTGAGTGAGTGACAGGCAGAGTGACAGGCTGAGTGAGTGACAGGCTGAGTGAGTGACAGGCTGAGTGACAGGCTGAGTGAGTGACAGGCTGAATGAGTCAGTGAGTGGCTGAGTGAGTGAGTGGCTGAATGAGTGACAGGCTGAGTGAGTGACAGACTGAGTGAGTGACAGGCTGAGTGAGTGACAGGCTGAGTGACAGACTGAGTGAGTGACAGACTGAGTGAGTGAGTAGCTGAGTGACAGACTGAGTGAGTGGCTGAGTGACAGGCTGAGTGAGTGACAGGCTGAGTGACAGGCTGAGTGAGTGGCTGAGTGAGTGACAGGCTGAGTTAGTGAGTGGCTGAGTGAGTGACAGTCCGAGTGAGTGACAGTCCGAGTGAGTGACAGTCCGAGTGAGTGACAGGCTGAGTGAGTGACAGGCTGAGTGACAGGCCGAGTGAGTGACAGGCAGAGTGAGTGACATATTCACACGTGGCCCCCCAGGGCACGCTGTAGATTGTTGTATTTTTAAATCCTTTATATTAAGTTTGCTTGCTTGCGTGCTTGCTTGCTTACGACCGTGCAAATCTTTCGGTCGTTTTTTAACCCACTTCCCGTGATCCAATCGAGCTGACATTTTGCACAGACTCGATGTGCGTGACAATTTATTTTCGTGAAAATTTTTTTCCTAAATTTTCCACTTTTTAGGGGGAAAAAATTTCATATTTAATTTAAAATACCAATGTGATAAAAATGAAACTCTTACTCAAGAAAAACAGAAATTAATACTAAAATAAAACCGATGCCACGCATGTAAAGGATTTATAGTGAAAAACTTTGTTTTTACGGGTTAATTTTTTATTCGTAGTGTGTTGTGTGTGTGGTGCGTGTGGTGTGGATAGTCCGACGTTTCGCTGGTGGTTACAGCCATCAGCATCAGGCACCTTGCCAGGATCAACCGCGTGGCTGCTGCTGCTGCCTCCCCACTCGTCTCTGGTTCCTCCTCCTGGCGAGTCGCTCTCTCGGAATCATCATCACTCTCTCTCCAAGTCGTCCACTGTCATCCTCTCTCCAAGTCGTCCCCTCTCTCTGAGTCGTCCACTCCAAGTCATTCTCTCTCTGTCGTCCTCTCTCTCCAAGTCGTCCCCTTTCCCCAAGTCGTCCTCTGTCATCCTCTCTCTCCGTCATTCTCTCTTGTCATCCTCTCTCTCTCTCCAAGTCGTCCACTCTCTCTAAGTCGTCCTCTCTGACTCGTCCGACTCATCCCATCTCTGCACGAGAGACACCGACGGCGCCAGCGGATGTCACCACCACCACCACCAGCCGTGGTCACTCTACTGCACGATGCGTTGTGTAGCGTTACGCACTCCTCCGTGGTACGCGTAGCAGCCGTGGTCACTCCACTGCTGGATGATGCCCGGTTGTTCCACCCATACCTCTACCACGTTGGTCAGTGGCAGGTTTCAAGGTGGTTTGGGAGCATAGATGCGGGGGTGCAGTTCAGTACAACGCCCAAGAACGCATGCTCGCATAGACTGAACCAAGATCCTGCGCGCCATGTAGCCTCCAACAGGACGTTGGTGCAAGTGCTGTTAGCACCGCCTATTGAAAGCCGGCACGGCAGAGGTCGCAAACGGGTTTTGATTCCTTACCCGTACCCGGCCGCACCAGGGTCGCAAACGGGTACCCGTACCCGGCCAACACCCCTACCCTACCCGGCCGGGTATCGGGTAGGGTATCGGGTACCTGATTGCGACCTCTGGGATGAAGCCACGTTGCAGGCACGGGTGGGTTGATTCTAGGAACTTGAATTGTGAGAAGAGACAAGACGTTGGGAAATGAGTGACAAACGGCGACTCACCAGTGACTCACAACCTACCCGTACCCGGCCGCACCATGACCAGCACCACGCTCGGCCGCCTTTGTCTCCCCAGTGGCGATGTTGACTGCACACGCTACTCCATTTAAGGCCAAGTCCACCTAGAGGAGGCTCGGAGCCTGGGTCGTAGCGCGGGTGTGCCGACCGCTGCGCCACCGCCCCACACACCACGTCAACACTACCAGCAACACACACTGCCAGCAACACGCGCTCCATACCACTACCTCCACAATGCCTGCACACTCCACCCGCTCTACCCTACTCCACAATGCCTGCACCCTGCACACCACTCTACTTCACTCTGCCCACACTCCACTCTACAATATCTGCACACCACTCTGCCCACTCTCTCCACTCCGCCCACACTCCCCACCCCACTCTGTCCACTCTGCCCACACTCTCCACTCTGCCCACTCTCCCCACCCCACTCTGTCCACTCTGCCCACACTCTCCACTCTGCCCACTCTCCCCACACTCTGCCCACTCTCTCCACACTCTGCCCACTCTCTCCACCCCACTGTCCACTGTCTCCACTCTGCCCACACTCTCCACTCTGCCCACTCTCCCCACACTCTGCCCACTCTCTCCACCCCACTGTCCACTGTCTCCACTCTGCCCACACTACTCCACTCTGCCCACTCTCCACTCTGCCCGCTCTCCCCACCCCACTGTACTGTCTCCACTCTACTCCGCCCACTCTCCCCACACTCTCCACTCTGCCCACTCTCTCCACTCCACTCTGCCCACTCTCCACTCTGCCCACTCTCCACTGCCCACAACCACTCCACTCCCCACACCCAATCTACTCCACACGTTGAACTACTCTACAATGCCTGAACACTCCACTCTACAATGCCTGCACACTCCACTCCGCCCACTCTCCACTCCACTCTACACTGCCCACAACCACTCCACTCCCCACACCCACTCTACTCCACACGTTGAACTACTCTACAATGCCTGAACACTCCACACCACTCCACTCTACAATGCCTGCACACTCCACTTCACTCTGCCCACAACCACTCCACTCTGCCTGCACCACTCCACAACCACTCTACTCCACTCTTCCCGCACACTCCACAGCATCCCCACCACACCAAACCCACCCACTATCCCCACCCCGCTCGCAGCACAGAGCCAAGCACACGTAGTCACGCCATTGGGAGAAAACTGTCTTTATTGACTTCACGGACGGGCGGGGATGGCGGGCGAGGAGCGTGGCGTGGCGAGTGAGCGAGCCTCAGCCCAGCTTGTTCGCCAGCTCCTTGGCCTTGGCCTTCTCCAGCTTGGCGATCCGCGCCAGCGACTTGGCGCCGTTGATGCCGCCACCCCAGTGGCGCCGGATCTGACGGTGGTGGTGGTGGGTTTTGGGGGTGTGGGGGAAAACGACATCGTCACCACCTCCTCCTCCACGCGTCACCTCGCCTGCTGCTGCTCGTGCGTACGTTTAGTTTGTTCCACACCCCGCACCCACAATTTGCACAGTTCGCTACGTACGGTGCGGAAAGTTCACGCATACCTCGTTTGTGTGACCCCTCAACAGAGGGTCACCTCGTCTGTGTGACCCCTCAACTGAGCGTCACCTCGTCTGTGACCCCCCCCCGACAGAGCATCACCTCGTCTGTGTGACCCCCCCCGAAAAAGTGTCACCTCGACTGTGTGCCCCCCACTAAGCGTCACCTCGTCTGTGTGACCCCCGACTACCCATCACCTCGTTTGTGTGCCCCCCCCCCCCCCGACAGAGCGTCACCTCGTCTGTGTGACCCCCCGAAAGAGCGTCACCTCGTCTGCCCCCTCCGTGTGTGCGTGCTCACCTCGTCGAAGCGGTCGTTGTAGTTGGTCTTGATGGCATCCACGAGCTTGCCTAGCACGGCCTTGTCCTCCCTGCACGACGGCAGTCACCCACACACGCACGCACCGGTCACCCACGCACGCATACACACCTCCGTCACTCGCAACACTCTACTGGTCCCGCACCAGTGCTGCTATCGCCACCGCCACTCAAGAAAACACTCGCAACTACTACACCACCACTCAAGAAAACACTCCAAACTACTCCAACACCAATACAACCGCTAACAAGAGGTCACTGGACAGACCCAGGTGCCATGGGTCGACTGAACGAGATCACTGGCCGATGCACACCACCTGTGCCCCCCCCCCCCCCCTACGGTGCCAACATCGCTGCAGATTCACCCGCCCAGGGCTCACGCTCGTTGCTGCGAGCGTCGCTCTCCTGCCCTCCCCGCTGTTGCTGCCGGAGGGCGACTGCCTCCGCTCCAGAGGCCGATCCTCGACACCGCTGGTAACGGCGTCCACCGGCTAGTTTCCACCGCCACCACCGCCGCCGCCACCACCGCCACCACCACCACCGCCGCTTAAATATCTCGGGCTACCACCACCCCCCCCCACCACAGCCCCGCTGTGACTGACACGAGGGATGACCGTCTGCGATCAGACAGAACCATCTTCTTGGTTCTTTCGGTAAAGTCACGTAGAAGGGAAATAATAAAATAAAAAATATAAAACATAATAAAAAAGTTTTATTTTCATTATTTTATTATTTCCCTTCTACTTGACTTTACCGAAAAAACCAAGAAGATGAATCCCTGCAGTCACGAAAGCTTTACACAGAACCAGTTCAAGTGCCAGCCATACACGTCCACTTCTCGGAATCTACATTTATTTATTCCTGGACCAATCCGATGCGCTATAAAGCTCTTTGTCACACATGTTGCCAAGCAGGGGTACGGGGACATCACCCCCCCCACCCCCACCCACCCCCAGGGTGCGTGCGGCGTCGCTCAGGGTTAAAAAGCTCGAGAATCCACACGGAGATTCGGTCGCAAAAGTCCTCATCAGCACGACGAGCCGGCAACCGGGGGGGGTTCTGCTTGTACGACCAGCCGTGGTGAGACACTCACGAGCGGAGGATCGATGTGGAGGCGAGCGGGTGGGCGAGCGGGTGGGTGAGCTGGTGGGCGAGCGACTCATAGGTGGGCGAGCGGGTGGGCAAGCGGGTGGGCGAGCGAGTCACGGGTGGGCCTGCGTGAAGGCGAGCGGGTGGGTGGGTAGCGGGCGAGTGGGTGGGCGAGCGGGTGGGCGAGCGACTGGGTGGCGGGCGAGTGGGTGGCTGTGTGAGTGGGTGGTCGAGCGGGCGACTCACGGGTTGACCTGGGTGAAGGGGCAAGCGGGCGGGTGGCTGTGTGAGTGGGTGGGCGAGCGGGTGGGCGAGCGACAGGGTGAGCGGGCGAGCGACTGGCTGTGTGAGTGGGCGAGCGGGTGGGCGACTCACGGGTTGACCTGGGTGAAGGCGACGGCGGCGCAGGTCTTGCGGTGGACGAGGCGCCCCACGCGCGCCTTGCCCTTCACGATGCAGTAGGGGACGCCCATCTTGCGGCACAGCGCCGGCATGAACAGCACCAGCTGCACAAAGACAAAGGGTCCCCAGCAGGGTGTGTAGACTTAACAAGACTGTCGGGGCAAGTGCTGTGAGCAAGCAGAACACGCCCCAGCGGCGATGTTCACTACGACGAGTCGACCTAGGGGTGGGCCCAGGACCGGCTCGAATAATCGTGAACTGGGGTTAGTGGCCGTGATCGGGAACCAAACTCGACACTACTGATCCCCAAAGACACAGATCCCCCATATAGCCCGATCAGAATGTTGGGGAAAGTGCTCTTAGCGAGTAACACCAGCCAAACGCTCAGCTGGCAGGAGGTCACGGAACAGAACCAGGTGCCATGGGTTGACCGACTAAGATGACCGACACACACACACAAGGCTGTAGTTGTCACACCCTCCGTGCTCTTGAAACGTGACCCCCCCCCTCATTCTAAGTTCCGGTCCCCCCTCTTAAGCACCAATCCCTTCTGGTCCCTCACACCGGCGTAAAGACTAAGGGGGGTAGGCGTGGTGGTATTATGTTGGTGGTGGTGGTGGAGTTTGTGGGGCGCGCTCAGGGTTAAAAAGCTCGTTGGCTTGATCCACACGGAGATTCAGGTGAAGAAATTCAGAGTGACATCATCGCGCAGCCCGCTACCACCACCACCCACCCCCCCCCCTCTCAACACGGCCACTCAACTCCACCCCCCCTCCCTCCCCGCTACAGACAGCGCCGGCGTGCGAGCGTCACCTCGATGGGGTCGACGTCGTGAGCGATGACCACCAGCTGCGCCTTCTTGCTCTCAATGAGCGTCGTCACCGTGTTCACGCCTACGTGCGCGCGCGCGGGGACACGGGGAGACACGCACACGGGAGACACGCAGACACACACGGGGGAGACACGCACACACGGGGCAAGGGGAGACACACACACGGGCAAGGGGAGACACACACACGGGCAAGGGGAGACACGCGCACACACACACACACGGGGCAAGGGGAGACACACACGGGCAAGGGGAGACACACACACGGGCAAGGGAAGACACGCGCACACACACACACACGGGGCAAGGGGAGACACACACACGGGCAAGGGGAGACACGCGCACACACACACACACGGGGCAAGGGGAGACACACACACGGGCAAGGGGAGACACACACACGGGCAAGGGGAGACACGCGCACACACACACACACGGGGCAAGGGGAGACACACACACGGGCAAGGGGAGACACACACACAATGGCAAGGGGAGACACGCGCACACACACACGGGGCAAGGGGAGACACACACACGGGGCAAGGGGAGACACACACACGGGCAAGGGGAGACACGCGCACACACACACGGGGCAAGGGGAGACACACACACGGGGCAAGGGGAGACACACACACGGGCAAGGGGAGACACGCAGACACACACGGGGCAAGGGGAGACACGCAGACACACACGGGGGAGACGCACACACACGGGCAAGGGGAGACACACACGGGAGACACACACACGGGGCAAGGGGAGACACGCACACACACACGGGGGAGACACAAGGAGATGCGAGGAGTTAAAAGCGGCACCATCGCCCCTGGCCGGACCCGCGCGTGTGTGAGCGGTGCGTGCGCGAGTGCGTGAGCTCGGTGGGCCAAACGCCACAGCCGGTGCACGCTGGCGGTGGCAACAAGGAGGCAGGCGGCGGGCATCAGAGATCTTGGTGGTAACCAGGTTGTCGTCATTAAGACTCCGCTAGCAAATATTCAGTAGCATCATCTGCAACCGCGCGCCCGAAGCCACTCCGTCCGCACTCCGCTAAACTTATTTTGTCAGCTTCTTGGTTCTTTCGGTAAAGTCACGTAGAATGGAAATAAAACATAATAAAATTATTCTCACGACGTTTCGGCCACAACGCAAGCAGCCGTTCTCAGGTAAAGAACAGGTCTGTCGAGAAGACAGAGTCTGAATGAAACAACCCCAGGCTTGGAGCGTCTATTTAAGCTGGGTTGGAAGGGGGAAGAGCACCTTGACAAAATCGTCAGGGCCGGGATCGAACCCACAACCTCCTGTATACCAGCCGAAGTAGTTAACATTTCGCCACAAACACTAATCCCGGAGGACTAAACATAGTTTGTAAATACATAATTTTGTTCTCATTGTTTAGAATGTTCTACTTACACGTCGAGTTTAAATGTGGGGACGGCGCTTCGAGTGGCAGATTTGCGCCACGAAGGTGCCACGTATATGCAAACAAAAATATTGACTAGACTGCACATAAGTGGCGTGTGTGTATAGTTTGTGTGTGGATGTCGTGCACAGTGCGTGTGTAGTGCACGTGTACGTAGTGCGTGTGTGCAGTACACGTGTGGTGTGTGCGTATAGTACGTGTGTAGTCGGCGTGCGTAGTGTGTGCGTGTGCAGTGTACGCGTGCAGTGCGTTTGCAGTGTACGCGTGCACAGTGCGTGTGTAGTACGTGCGTGTAATACCCGCGTGCAGTGTGTGCGTGTGCAGTGTACGCGTGTGTAGTGGGCGTGCAGTGCGTGTGTAATACCCGCGTACAGTGTGTGCGTGCGGAGCGTGCGGTACACGCGTGTGTGTGGTACACGCGTGTGTGTGCGGTGCGTACCCGAGCGGATCACGGGGGGCCGCTTGGTTGGAACGTCCTCCTTCCCGGCGGCCTTCTGCTCGGCGCGCGCCATCAAGCGAGCCTTCTTCTCCTGCTTGGTCTCCGGGCGATACTTGTGGGCCAGCTTGAACAGCTGTGTGGCTGCGCACGCACCGCCAAACACAAAGATTCACCACCGCCCCCCCATGTCGCCTTTAAATCAGAGGTCGCAAACGGGTTTTGATTCCTTACCCGTACCCGGACCCGGCCGCACCAGGGTCACAAATGGGTACCCGTACGCTACCCGTACCCTACCCGAAATGAGTGACAAACGGTTACTCACCAGTGACTCACGGCCTACCCGTACCCGGCCGCACCAGGGTCGCAAATGGGTACCCGTTCCCTACCCGAAATGAGTGACAAACGGTTACTCACCAGTGACTCACGGCCTACCCGTACCCGGCCGCACCAGGGTCGCAAACGGGTACCCGTACCCGGCCGGGTAGCCAGGTATCGGGTAGGGTACGGGTATCGGGTACCCGGTTGCGACCTCTGCTTTAAATGAGACTGTTGGGGCAAGTTATTGTTCGCGAGCAGCACCTATCAAGAAGCCGGCACAATAAAATCTCTCGTTGCGTAGTGCGGCGAGCGCGGCGGCTGCCCCTCCCCCCCTCTCTCTCCCCTGCTGGTAGCCGCCGCGGGGTTGATTGGTGGGCGCGGGCGGGCATCAGAGATCTTGGTGGTTATGGTGTCGTCATCAAAACCTCCGCTAGCAAATATTCGGTAGCATCATCTGCACCGCCCGCCGCCACTTGCCCGCGATTTAAACGGCGGCGACATTGGCGACGCCGCTGTGAACGCGACGGTGGTGTGGAGGACACGATGGCGAAGTAACTGTGGTGACATGGTCATTAAACTTAATTTGGAGCTTTCGTGACTGCAGGAATTACTCTTTGGTTCTTTCGGTAAAGTCACGTATAAAGAGAATTTTTTTTTTTTATACATTTTTATTTATTATTTTGACATGGTCATTGTATGTGATGCGATCTTCTATCATCTAAAAAAAATTAAATACAATTTAATTTTTTATTTTGACATGGTCATTGTATGTGATGCGATCCTCTGTCATCTAAAAAAAATAAAATACAATTGAATTTATTATTTTGACATGGTCATTGTATGTGATGCGATCCTCTCATCTCCACTGGCCATCAGTCAGCTATCGCGTACAATTTTAGTTAGTTGCAATGACTTGCAAAGACCACAACGGGCCTTGGGGTCGTGGCCCCCCAGACTATACTCAAAAAATAAATAGAATGAATGAAAATTGAACGGCGGTTACGTGACGGTGGTCACGATGGCGACGTAACCGTGGTGCTATTGGTGTGAAGACGATGATGGTGTGGAGATGATTGTGAAGCAACGGTGCCGACGGTGGCGATATAACGGTGACAACATTGGTGATGGTGGGTATGGAGACGATTTCCAAGTAACGGTGGTGACACTGGTGATGATGTAGTGACGGCGATGGTGGCGGTGCGGCGATGGTTACCCGTCTGCCGGTCCAGGGCCTGTGTGAACTGGTTGATGGCCGGAGGCACCTTGAGGCGCTTGTAGAGGATCGCTCGCTGGCGCTGCAGGCGCACGTAGCGAGGCCAGCGCACAAACCGCGTCAGGTCCCGCTTCGGCTGGATGTCCTGGCCTGGGCCACGGTGAACGAGGGGACAAACTGCGTCAGCACACGCCCGCACGCCACTCACCCCCCTTACACCGGGCAAACGCCCGGCAAAAACTAAAAAACGTTTCTGAGGGGTTGCAGCTGACGTGCGAGCTCCCCACAAAAAGTGAGATGCAGTGGGGGGGGGGGGGGGGGAGGCGGTGGTGGGGTTGTTTTTGGGGCGCGCTCAGGGTTAAAAAGCTCGTTGGGTTTGATCCACACGGAGATTCAGGTGAAGAAATTCTGTTTGACATCATCGCGCAGCCCTGCTCCCACCCACCACCAACCCATGGCCACAGGAGATGTGTAGGAGTGGAGATGGAGGGGAGAGGAGATGAGGAAAGCAGAGACGGAGCAAATGAATGAAGGCGAGGGGAGATAGGATATGTAGGAGAGGGGAGATGTAGGAGAGGAAAGATGGATGACAGGAGAGATGAAGGAGGGGAGAGGAGATGGAGAGATTCTAGATTTGAAGCTTTCGTGACTGCAAGGATTCATATCCTTAGGTTTTTTTCAGTAAAGTCACGTAGGTAAAAAATTAAAATTAATAAAAGTTTAATAAAACTAAAGTAAAAATCACGACGTTTCGGAGGCAACACAAACTTCCGTCTTCAGGTGGAAGATGGAGAGAGATGGAGGGAATGAAGAATGGAGAGGGGAGAAGGAAGGCAGGAGATGCAGGAGAGAGGAGACTTAGTTGTGGGAGTCGTAGTTACCGATCGAGTAGTTCTTTGGCCGCTTCTCAAACAGGGGGTTGACGGTCTTCTTCGCCTCATGCTTCTTGACGGCGAAGGGCGCCGGCGCGACCTTCTTCCCCTTCGACTTGGCCTTCTTCCCCTTGGGCTGGGGGGGGGCGGGAGTAGAGGGACGGGAGGGGGTAGCACGGGGTGGCTCAGTCAATTCTAGATGTGAAGCTTTCGTGACTGCAAGGATTCATACTCTTAGGTTTTTTAGGTAAAGTCACGTAGGTAAAAAATTTTAATAAAAGTAAAATAAGTATTTTATTTTACTAAAACAATAGTTATTTTATTATTTTAATTTTTTTACTTTCATAAATTTTAATTTTTTACCTACGTGACTTTACCGAAAAAAACCTAAGAATGTTTATCATAATAAAAAAACTCCTATCCAGGGGCCTACCCTGGCTCCTCACCCCTCAATCAGTATACTGTATATACAAGGTCGGATCTATTGGAATCTCTCTTTACTTGATACAGCTATCGTGCTGTGACGGTTCCACCTGAAGACGGAAGCTTGTGTTGCCTCCGAAACGTCCTGATTTTTTATTTTACTTTTATTAATTTTAATTTTATTTTTTACCTACGTTACTCAGTCAAGCTGTTGGACGTCACCACGCCAGCAGTTTGCATCTTGACGCGCCAGCTCCCCGCAAAAAGTGAAGACACAGTGTGGGAGGTGGCAGTGACAGCATTGTTTGTGGGCTGCGCTCGTTGGGTTTGATCCACACGTGAGATTCAGGTGAAGAAATTCTGAGTGACTTAATCGCGCAGCCCGCTCCCCACCCCGCTACTGCACCTGAGTCTGAACCGCGTGCAACACCGCAATTCTCGCCCAGTGGTCACCGTGTGTGTAACAAGTGGGACGTATTGGGCGGTAACACCGGTTGCAGCGTAAAAACACACACCGGTCCCTCGTAAAAAAAATTCGAAACGGCAACAATCTGTTTGATCAGTCTTGAAACGACCCTTGTCGCCAAGTTTGACGCGCGCGATTCCGAGGTTTATTCAGTCTGCCGAGGCTTGCCAAGGGCTCAATGTTGACGGCCGATTTGGGGGTCCCGTCGAATCGAGGGGGAACCGTTCGACCAAGCCTAGGTTAGTTAGCTACGTGCACGTCAAGGGCACGTGCAAGTGTCGGACATCCGCTGGCAAGGAGGTCACGGGACAGACCCAGTTGCCATGGGTCGACTGACCGAGATCAGTGGACGATGCACCACCCGTGCCCCCTACTGTGCCAACTTGCTGTGTTTTAGCCACCCGGCGCTCCGCCCGTTGTTGTGAGCGTCGCTTCTCTGCTGGAGGGCGACTGCCTCCAACTAACCAGCAGCGTCCTTCACGAGCCTCCTCCTCCACAGAGGCCGATCTTGACACGGCTGGTACCAGTCATCAGCAAGACCGCTCAGCTCCACATCCTCTTGTACATCAGCTCCATCTCGTCTCTATCCCGAGCCGCGCCCGTTTATCCCCCTCGATCCGGCCGAACAAAAGCTCCATAAGACAGATTTTTTTTGGGGTTATACCGTGTCAATGTGTCGTTAAACCCACCACACATCTGCGTAGCTGCGCGCACCGACAAAGATCCACACCCCCCCCCCCCCCGTGTCGCCTTTAAATGAGACTTGAGGCAAGTTATTGTTCGCGAGCTGCACTATCAAATCTCTCGCTCCGTAGTGCGGCGAGTGCGATTGATTGGTGGACGCGGGCGGGCATCAGAGATCTTGGTGGTTAAGGTGTCGTCATCAGAACCTCCGTTAGCAAATATTCAGTAGCATCATTTGCACCGCCCGCTGTCAACTTGCTCGCGATTTTAACGGCGGCAGAGACAGATTTTTGTGGGTTATATCGTGTCAATGTGTCGTCAAACCCACCACACAACCAACTAGTAATGGTTCGTCACGTAAACAGAACGTGGCCAATTCGTTGCTAGTACAGCAACACCAGTGTGTGTGTTGGAAGAGCCAAGCCTCGACATCTACAATCAGAGCACGACGTTTCGCCAGTAATTGCAACCAGCTTCATCAGGCAACACAGCCAGATGTGGCACATTTATATATTTACACGATCTAACACAAAAAAACTGTATCATGGATGATATTGAACGCAAGCCGTTCAGGGCATGCGGGCTACATGACCACAGACAGACAAACAAAGATAAAGACAAAGATCCCCCGTATAGCCTTTACGTACTGTAGGGGCAAGTGCTGTTAACGAGCACCTATGAAGGCCGGAACGGCACACGAGGGGGGTGGGTGGCCAGCACCACGCCCGACCGCCTTTGTCTCCCCAGTGGCGATGTTTACTACACACCGCACAAGGTAATCATTTGAGGCCGAGTCGACCTAGGGGAGGCCCAGGACCGGTTCAGATCATCGTCACTGGGTGTTGGCCGTGAGCGGGGAATCGAACCCGGGTCGCCGGGTTCACAGCGCAGCGCAGCGCTAATCACTACACCCACCGCTCCCCACATCCAGACAGACACAAAGATAAAGATCCCCCGTATAGGCCTGACCAGGCTGTTGGGGCAAGTGCTGTTACTGCGTTGGCAAGTGGTGCACAAGGCACAAAAGGAACGACCCAATACGTTAATCAATAATACTGCTGATATTAAGGGCCATAGCCCGAAACGTCGTCTATTAATCTCTGGAAAACACGAAATACGTGGGCCAATTACCCCAAGTGGAAGTTACCTCACGTTACACCAGTTACCCTACTAGTTACCACGGCAAGTGTTACCTTTACACAAGTATTACACGTGGAAGTTACCTCACTCCACATTACATCAGTTACCCTACTAGTTACCACGGCAAGTGTTACATTCACATCATTGGGAGTTACCAAAGCCTGCCACGTTACCAGAGCAAACGTTACCCTTCACACAATTACCTCGCGTGGAAGTTACCTCACATTACACCAGTTACCCTACTAGTTACCACGGCAGTTACCTTAACACCATCGAGTTACCAAAGCCTGCCACGTTACCAGAGCAAACGTTACTCTTCACACAATGACCTCACGTGGAAGTTACCTCACATTACACCAGTTACCCTACTAGTTACCACGGCAGTGTTACCTTAACACAATTGGGAGTTACCAAAGCCTGCCACGTTACCAGAGCAAACGTTACCCTTCACACAATTACCTCACGTGGAAGTTACCTCACTCCACATTACACAAGTTACCTTACTAATCACAAGCCGCTGCGTTAACCAATCACACCACCAAGATAACCAGTTACCACGCGCATTAAGTTACCCTCACGCGATGTTAGGTTACCACGGTGCGCGGTTGCAAGAGAAAGAGGGCAAACAAAAACATTAAAATAAAAACTTTACCCCATTCGCCAGCTAAGAGAAACGGACGCTGCCGAGTCGGGCCTCCTCCGCCATCGCCGCGTGAGCGAAGACGAAATAAAAACTAAATAAAATATCGACTCTTGCACGTAGCGGGGAACGCGGGGCGTGCGCGGAGATGCGTCGCGGCGGCGGCGGCACTCGGGAAGGGGACGGATGCCGACGGATTGACTTCGCGTGAGGAGAGCGATGCAACGGCAGCGACTACTCACCATGATGGCGGCGTGGAGAGAGAGAGGGTCGAGGGGAGGGGGTAGTTGGGGTGGGGGGGGGGTGCCGCGCGCGAGACGACAACCACCCTCGCGATTGGCTGAGCGCGGTCACGTGGACCGGTTTTGTCCAATCAGAAGCGGATATTTTTTTTTGCACGCGGTACTATCGTTGTTGGATGAGGGGGGCGGGGTTTGGGGGAAGGGGGCCCCGGACTGTGAATTCTCACCACGTGGGGGTCGCTGTGTGGTGACGTCACTGCCATCTTAGGTCGGTTAACCCCTCACCCCCCCCGCGACCCCTTAACATTGATAAAAACTTCAAATTAAGATTTAAAAAGGTGAAATTAAGACGACGTTTCGAGGGACGGCCCTACTTATTATTATTCACATAGAGACGAGGCCAGAAGAAGAGAGAGTTGATGATAAGAGTTTGAAGACTGCCACTTGCTTTCCAACCATGGGGTTCTGGATAAGAATACAACTTTATCTTTTTTTAACCGATCAAACCCTTTATTAAACGGGATACGAACGATCACTCTATTAGTGGATATTCACATCACCAAAAAAAATAATAATGGAAAATATGAATTTTATTTAACAAAAAAATTGTAAAAAATTTGTGTCCTGGCACATTGCATTATGGGTGGCTCCCATTGTTCCACCCCTACGTAAGATGGCGGCGCGCGGCTCATTGATAGCCGAGCTCTCTCCACTGCTGCCCTAAGGCCTGCTTCTCTCTCCACTGCTGCCCCTAGGGAGAGCCGTGCTCTCTCCACTGCTCCCCTGAGGCCTGCTTCTCTCTCCACTGCTGCCCCTAGGGAGAGCCGTGCTCTCTCCACTGCTCCCCTGAGGCCTGCTTCTCTCTCTACTGCTGCCCCTAGGGAGAGCCGTGCTCTCTCCACTGCTCCCCTGAGGCCTGCTTCTCACTCCACTGCTGCCCTGAGAGAGAGCCGTGCTCTCTCCACTGCTGCCCTAAGGCCTGCTTCTCTCTCTACTGCTGCCCTGAGAGAGAGCCGTGCTCTCTCCACTGCTGCCCCTAGGGAGAGCCGTGCTCTCTCCACTGCTGCCCTAAGGCCTGCTTCTCTCTCTACTGCTGCCCTGAGAGAGAGCCGCACTCTCTCTACTGCTGCCCCTAGGGAGAGCCGTGCTCTCTCCACTGCTCCCCTGAGGCCTGCTTCTCTCTCCACTGCTGCCCTGAGAGAGAGCCGTGCTCTCTCCACTGCTGCTGCTGCTGCTGCCCCGTGATGTCGCGTGCGCTGCCCCAGAGCAAGGAGGCGCTGCTGCAGTCGTTTAACAAGCGGCTCAAGGACGACGTGCGCTCCATCCTGGACAACTTCACGGAGATCGTCAAGACGGCCAAGGTTCGCCTCACACACACTGACACACACACCGTGACACACACACCGCACACACACCGTGACACACACACTGACACACACACACACCACACACACACCGTGACACACACACTGACACACACACACCGTGACACACACACTGACACACACACACACCACACACACACCGTGACACACACACTGACACACACACTGACACACACACACACACACCGTGACACACACACTGACACACACACACACCACACACACACCGTGACACACACACTGACACACACACACACCACACACACACCGTGACACAAAGACAAAGATAAAGATCCCCCGTATAGCCTGAACAGACTGTAGGGGCAAGTGCTGTTAGCGAGCACCTATGAAGGCCGGAACGGTACACGAGGGGGTGGGTGGCCAGCACCACGCCCGACCGCCTTTGTCTCCCTAGTGGCGATGTTTACACACCGCACCAGGTACTCATTTAAGGCTGAGTCGACCTAGGGGAGGCCCAGGACCGGTTCAGATAATCGTCACTGGTGTTAGCCGTGAGCGGGAATCGAACCCGGGTCGCCAGGTTCATAGCGCAGCGCGCTAACCGCTACACTACCGCTCCCCACACACACACACACCGTGACACACACAGTGGCACTCACACACTGACACACACACACCGTGACACACACAGTGGCACTCACACACTGACACACACACACCGTGACACACACAGTGGCACTCACACACTGACACACACACACCGTGACACACACAGTGGCACTCACACACTGACACACACACACCGTGACACACACACAGTGACACACACACACCGTGACACACACACAGACACAGTGACGCACACACCGTGACACACACCGTGACACACACCGTGGCACTCACACACTGACACACACACACCGTGACACACACACACACCGTGACACACAGACACCGTGACACACACACACACCCACTGACAGACACACCGTGACACACACACACAGTGACACACACACACCGTGACACACACAGTGGCACTCACACACTGACACACACACACCGTGACACACACACACAGTGACACACACACACCTTGACACACACAGTGGCACTCACACACTGACACACACACACACCGTGACACACACACACAGTGACACACACACACCGTGACACACACAGTGGCACTCACACACTGACACACACACACCGTGACACACACACAGTGACACACACACACCGTGACACACACAGTGGCACTCACACACTGACACACACACACCGTGACACACACACCGTGACACAAACACCGTGACACACTCGGTGATACACACACACACCGTGACACACACAGTGGCACTCACACACTGACAACAACAACAACCGCAATTCGCCAATAAGTAGTGGTGACGTCACCACGACGCTTGTGCCAGGCCATGTGCACCTTGAGGCTACGAGGCAAGTCTATGGGTCTCTGTGTGACGAGTCTGTGGGTCTCTGTGTGATGAGTCTGTGGGTCTCTGTGTGATGAGTCTATGGGTCTCTGTGTAATGAGTCTATGGGTCTCTGTGTGATGAGTCTATGGGTCTCTGTGTGATGAGTCTATGAGTCTCTGTGTGATGAGTCTGTGGGTCTCTGTGTGTTGAGTCTAGTGGTCTCTGTGTGTTGAGTCTAGTGGTCTCTGTGTGGTGAGTCTATGGGTCTCTGTGTGATGAGTCTATGGGTCTTTGTGCGACGAGTCTATGGGTCTCTGTGTAATGAGTCTATGGGTCTCTGTGTGGTGAGTCTATGGGTCTCTGTGTGATGAGTCTATGAGTATCTGTGTGATGAGTCTATGGGTCTCTGTGTGATGAGTCTGTGAGTCTCTGTGTGATGAGTCTATGGGTCTCTGTGTGATGAGTCTATGGGTCTCTGTGTGATGAGTCTATGGGTCTCTGTGTGGTGAGTCTATGGGTCTCTGTGTGATGAGTCTGTGGGTCTCTGCGTGATGAGTCTGTGGGTCTCTGTGCGACGAGTCTATGGGTCTCTGTGTGGTGAGTCAATGGGTCTCTGTGTGGTGAGTCTATGGGTCTCTGTGTGATGAGTCTGTGGGTCTCTGCGTGATGAGTCTATGGGTCTCTGTGCGACGAGTCTGTGAGTTTCTGTGTGATGAGTCTATGGGTCTCTGTGTGATGAGTCTGTGGGTCTCTGTGTGATGAGTCTATGAGTCTCTGTGTGATGAGTCTATGGGTCCCTGTGTGCTGAGTCTAGGGGTATCTGTGTGTTGAGTCTATGGGTCTCTGTGTGTTGAGTCTATGGGTCTCTGTGTGATGAGTCTATGGGTCTCTGTGTGTTGAGTCTAGGGGTCTCTGTGTGATGAGTCTATGGGTCTCTGTGTGATGAGTCTATGTGTTGAGTCTAGTGGTCTCTGTGTGTTGAGTCTAGTGGTCTCTGTGTGGTGAGACTATGGGTCTCTGTGTGATGAGTCTATGGGTCTCTGTGTGGTGAGTCTATGGGTCTCTGTGTGATGAGTCTGTGGGTCTCTGCGTGATGAGTCTATGGGTCTCTGTGTGACGAGTCTGTGAGTTTCTGTGTGATGAGTCTATGGGTCTCTGTGTGATGAGTCTATGAGTCTCTGTGTGATGAGTCTATGGGTCTCTGTGTGATGAGTCTGTGGGTCTCTGTGTGATGAGTCTATGAGTCTCTGTGTGATGAGTCTATGGGTCTCTGTGTGATGAGTCTGTGGGTCTCTGTGTGATGAGTCTATGAGTCTCTGTGTGATGAGTCTATGGGGCTCTGTGTGATGAGTCTATGGGTCTCTGTGTGATGAGTCTGTGGGTCTCTGTGTGATGAGTCTATGAGTCTCTGTGTGATGAGTCTATGGGTCTCTGTGTGATGAGTCTGTGGGTCTCTGTGTGATGAGTCTATGAGTCTCTGTGTGATGAGTCTATGGGGCTCTGTTTGGTGAATCTATGGGTGTCTGTGTGGTGAGCCTATGGGTATCTGTGTGGTGAGTCTATGGGTCTCTGTGTGGTGAGTCTACGGGTCTCTGTGTGATGAGTCTATGGGTCTCTGTGTGGTGAGTCTATGAGCATCTGTGTGCTGAGTCTATGGGTCTCTGTGTGATGAGTCTGTGTCTCTGCGTGATGAGTCTATGTGTCTCTGCGTGATGAGTCTGTGTCTCTGCGTGATGAGTCTATGTGTCTCTGCGTGATGAGTCTATGGGTCTCTGTGCGACGAGTCTATGGGTCTCTTTTTAATGAGTCTATGGGTCTCTGTGTGATGAGTCTGTGGGTCTCTGTGTAATGAGTCTATGAGTATCTGTGTAGTGAGCCTATGGGTATCTGTGTGATGAGTATATGGGTCTCTGTGTGATGAGTCTATGAGCATCTGTGTGCTGAGTCTATGGCTCTCTGTGAGTCTACGGGTGTATATTCGTGTCAATCTCGATGAAGCCACTGTGAGGCATAGCCCACACTGACATCGAAAGCGAAGAGCGTTCCAGACGGCCACCGTGACGCTGACATACCTGACTTGCCCCCCACCCACCACCCCCCCCGCCCACCACCACCACTGCCCCCCCCCCCACCACCACCACCACTGCCCCCCCCCCCCGCCCCCCCCCCGTAGGTGGAGGAGGAGAGCCAGGTGTCCCGCACCACGCAGTCGGAGCAGGACCACTACGAGATGCACGTCCGCGCGTCCAACATCGTGAGTGGCGGCACCGGCAGCGGCCAATCGCGGCCCAGGCTTACGCAACTAGCCCAAAGACAAAGGTGCCTCCAACCACCCGTGTAGCCTTCAACAGGACGGTCGGGGCAAGTGTCGTTAGCGGGTTGGCAGCACCTACCCAGGCTACGCACGGACCACGGGTGCATCGTGTGATGAGTCTGTGTCTCTGTGTGGTGAGTCTGTGTGTCTCTGTGTGATGAGTATGTGGGTCTCTGTGTGGTGAGTCTGTGTCTCTGTGTGGTGAGTCTGTGTGTCTCTGTGTGGTGAGTCTGTGAGTCTCTGCTGTGTGGTGAGTCTGTGTGTCTCTGTGTGATGAGTCTGTGTGTCTCTGTGTGATGAGTCTGTGGGTCTCTGTGTGATGAGTCTGTGGGTCTCTGTGTGGTGAGTCTGTGGGTCTCTGTGTGATGAGTCTGTGTGTCTCTGTGTGATGAGTCTGTGTGTCTCTGTGTGATGAGTCTGTGTCTCTGTGTGATGAGTCTGTGTCTCTGTGTGGTGAGTCTGTGGGTCTCTGTGTGGTGAGTCTGTGGGTCTCTGTGTGATGAGTCTGTGGGTCTCTGCTGTGTGGTGAGTCTGTGGGTCTCTGTGTGATGAGTCTATGGGTCTCTGTATGGGTGAGTCTATGTATCTCTGTGTGATGAGTCTGTGGGTCTCTGTGAGTCTACCGGTCTCTGAGTCTATGGGACTCTGTGTGGTGAGTCTGGGTCTCTGTGTGTCTATGGGTCTCTGTGAGTCTACGGGTCTCTGAGTCTATGGGACTCTATGAGTCTGGGTCTCTGTGAGTCTACGGGTCTCTGAGTCTATGGGACTCTGTGAGTCTGGGTCTCTGTGAGTCTACGGGTCTCTGAGTCTATGGGACTCTGTGTGGTGAGTCTGGGTCTCTGTGTGTCTATGGGTCTCTGTGAGTCTACGGGTCTCCGAGTCTATGGGACTTTGTGTGGTGAATCTGGGTCTCTGTGTGTCTATGGGTCTCTGTGAGTCTACGGGTCTCTGAGTCTACGGGTCTCTGAGTCTATGGGTCTCTGTGTGGTGAGTCTGGGTATCTTGTGTGTCGAATGGACAACAAACTAACACACAACAACAACAATCAGTTCTAAACAAATTAGTTTTCAATATAGTTGCGTCATGTCGTGTATAATAGTGCTGTTGTGTAAAAATGTAGTTCATAGTGTAGTGTGTAGTAGTGGCATTGTGTAGTATGTAGTTTACAGCGTATGTATAGCAGTGGTGTTGTGTAGTATGTAGTGTATAGTAGTGGTGTTGTGTCGTATGTAGTTTACAGTAGTGTATAGCAGTGGTATTGTGCAGTATGTAGTTTATAGTGTATAGTAGTGGTGTTGTGTAGTATGTAGTTTATAGTGTAGTGTATAGCAGTGGCATTGTGTCGTATGTAGTTTATAGTGTAGTGTATAGCAGCGAGTCAACGGGTCTCTCTCACCGACAACTCCCCTCCTTCCACCCCCCCACCCTTACCCCCCACCTGCCCCCCACCTGCCCCCCTCCACCAGGTGAGGGCAGGTGAGTCCCTGACGAAGCTGGTGTCGGAGCTGAAGCAGTTCCTGATCCTCAACGACTTTGCGGCGGTGAACGAGGCGGTGTCGCAGCGTGCCGCTCACCTTCGCGCCACGCACGACGAGTGTGACCGCAAGCTCGTGTCTCTGCGCGACGACATCGCCACCGACCTCTACGAACTCGAGGAGGAGTTCTACTCCAGGTGCCGTGGGGTGGACGTGGTGGGGGGAGTGGGGGGGTGATTGTGAGTGTCTGTACGTGTTTGTGTGTCTGTGTGGGTGGTGTGTGTGTCTGTGTGTATGGGTGATGTGTGTGTCTGTGTGTATGGGTGATGTGTGTGTCTGTGTGTGTGGGTGATGTGTGTGTGTGTGTCTGTGTGTATTATGATGTGTGTGTATGTATGAGTGATGTGTGTCTGTGTGTATGAGTGATGTGTGTGTCGGTATGGGTGATGTGTGTGTCTGTATGGTGATGTGTGTGTCTGTGTATGGGGGTGATGTGTCTGTATGAGTGATGTGTGTGTCTGTGTGAATGTATGGGTGATGTGTGTGTGTCTGTGTGTGTGGGTGATATGTGTGTGTGACTGTGTATGGGTGATGTGTGTGTGTGTGTGTCTGTATGAGTGTGGAGAGAGTGGAGAGTTTCCCATACCTGGGCAGTGTGCTTATGACCGGCTCCAGTCTATCAGCAGAGGTCTCACTCCGAATCAGTCGAGCGGCAATATCTTTTCATCGGTTGCGTAACGCTGTGTGGAAGCTACCTGGTCTGTCGCTCCGCACGAAGCTTCAGGTCTTCTCGGCCACGGTCATTCCCTCCCTTCTCTACGCTTGCGAGACGTGGACCCCCCTGGTGGAGCATCTTCGCCGGTTGGAAACATTTAGGCTGGCCTGCCTACGATCCATCCTGGGTTTAACCAGGCTGGATTGTGTGAGGAGCTCACAAATCCTTGAAAGATCTGGGCAAAGTCCCATCAGTGAGCTCCTCCGGCAGGCAAGGCTGCGTTGGCTGGGTCATGTAGCCCGCATGCCCAGCCACCGCATGCCTAAACAGCTTTTGTTCGGCCGGATCGAGGGGGCTAGACGGGCGCGGCACGGGCTGGAGAAGAGATGGAGTGATGTGGTACAGGAGGACGTGGAGCTGAGTGGACTTGCCGATGACTGGTACCAGCGGTGTCAAGATCGGCCTCAGTGGAGGAGGCTCGTGAAGGACGCTACTGGGCAGTTGGAGGCAGTCGCCCTCCAACAACAACGGAGGGCGGAGGAGCGACGCTCACAACAACGAGCGGAGCGCCGGGTGGCTAAAGCACAGCAAGTTGGCACAGTAGGGGGCACAGGTGGTGCATCAGCCAGTCATCTCGGTCATCTCGGTCAGTCGACCAGTGGCACCTGGGTCTGCCCCGTGACCTCCTGCCAGCGGGCTTTCGACACTTCACGTGGCCTCAAGGTGCACTTGGCCTGGCACAAGCATCGTGGTGACGTCACCGCCACTTAGTGGCGAATGGCGGTTGTTGTTGTTGTTGTTGTATGAGTGATGTGTGTTGTCTGTGTGTATGAGTGATGTGTGTCTGTGTGTATGAGTGATGTGTGTGTCTGTATGGGTGATGTGGTGGGTGTATGTATGGTGGTGATGTGTGTGTCTGTGTATGGGTGATCTGTGTGTCTGTATGTATGTATGGGTGATGTGGTGGCTGTGTGTATGGGGATGATGTGTCTGTATGAGTGATGTGTGTGTCTGTGTATGGGTGATCTGTGTGTCTGTATGTATGTATGGGTGATGTGGTGGCTGTGTGTATGGGGATGATGTGTCTGTATGAGTGATGTGTGTGTCTGTGTATGGGTGATGTGTGTCTGTATGCGGGTGATGTGGTGGGTGTCTGTTTGCGGGTGATGTGTGTGTCTATATTCTACTCCAGCTGCGGGGCGTATGGATTGCTGCTGCTTATGATGATGCTGCTGCTGATAATGTTGCTGATAATGCTGCTAATGATGTTGCTGCTGATGTTTCTGATGATCCTGCTTATGATGCTGCTGATGATGATGATGAAGCTGCTGCTGATGTTTCTGATGATGATGATGATGATGCTGATGATGTTGCTGCTGATGATGATGCTGATGATGTTTAGTGGGAGAGCCCAAACTCGGACTCATCACAATCTCACCCCCCCACCTTCTCACCCCCCCCCCCACCTTCTCACCCCCCCCCCATCTTCTCACCCCCCCATCTTCTCACCCCCCCACCTTCTCACCCCCCCCTTCTCACCCCCCCACCTTCTCACCCCCCCCACCTCACCCCCCCCCCACCTTGTCACCTTCTCACTTTCTCATCCCCCCACCCCCCCTTCTCACCCCCCCCCATCTTCTCACCCCCCCCATCTTCTCACCCCCCCCTTCTCACCCCCCCACCTTCTCACCCCCCCCACCTCACCCCCCCCCCCACCTTGTCACCTTCTCACTTTCTCATCCCCCCACCCCCCCTTCTCACCCCCCCCCTCCCCCCCCATCCAGCAGCTGGATCCCAGAGCCCCCCGCAGGCCCCGAGGGAGGCCCCCCCCCGCCGCCGTGTGGGGGGGGGGGAGGGGGGGAGCCGGGCGCTGAGCGCAGCTCTCAGGGCGGCCCCAGTGGTGGCCCCGGTGGGGTGGGGGCGGTGGGGGGGGGCGACCCCACGGGGCCCACGGCTCCCGCGGCCTTCCTGGGCCCACGCGGAGGCGGAGGAGGAGGGCCCGGCAGCCTGGGGGACGGGAGGCCCTCGCACGCACAGTGACGGGCAGGGGGCAGGGGAGAGGGGCAGGGTAGGGCAGGGTAGGGCAGGGAAGGGCATGATGAGGGGCAGGGAAGGGTAGGAAGAGGGGCAGGGAAGGGCATGATGAGGGGCAGGGAAGGGTAGGAAGAGGGGCAGGGAAGGGCATTACGAGGGGCAGGGAAGGGTAGGAAGAGGGGCAGGGAAGGGCATGATGAGGGACGGGGAGAGGGGCAGGGGAGAGGGGCAGGGGGGAGAGGCAGGGTTAGGGTAGGGCAGGGAAGGGCAGGGAAGGGCATGATGAGGGGCAGGGAAGGGCGGCACGGGGGGCAGGACGAGGGGCAAGGGGAGGGGCAGGGAAGGGCATGATGAAGGGCAGGGAAGGGCGGCACGGGGAGCAGGACGAGGGGCAGGGAAGGGCAGGGTAGAGAGAGGGACAAGGCAGAGAGGGGCAGAGCGGTGAGGGGTAGGTGTGGGGCAGTGTGAAGGGCAGGATACACAGAAGGGCAGGCAGTGCTTCCTGGGAGGCAGCGTGAACACACTGGGGGGTGTTTGTGATGGAACGTCGTGCAACGCGGGGAGCGGTGGCGCAGCGGTTAGTACGCGGCGCCGCAAACCCAGCCACCCCGAGTTCGATTCCCGCTCCATTATCTGAACAGGGTCCTGGGCACCTCCCCCGGAGGTCAAATGCGCACCTGGTGTAGCGGTGTGTAGTAAACATCGCCACTGGGGAGACAAAGGTGGCCGGGCGTGGTGCTGGCCACCCACCCCCCTCGTGTGCCACAGTGCCGGTAGCCTTCATAGGCGCTGCTGCTTGCCCCGACAGTCTGTCGAGACTACACTGAGGGGCTGGGGGGGGGCGATCTTTGTCCTTGTTTGTGAAATAAAAGTGTGAACGTGAAGTCGACTCCGCCGTGTCCGAGTCTTTCCCAGCGCCACCACGAGTGGGTGCGACGGTGGCTAGGAGATGTTG